GGGATGTAGATCTACATCTAATAATTGTTCTTCAGATTCCTCTGACAATTCCTTAATCACTACTCCATTAGAGTGATAATTTGCAGACCCAGAATAAAAAGGATATAATTCCAATAGTGTATTATTTTCAACACACTCAAATGCGAAACGAGAAATATCTCTTGAATCATGAATAAAATCAAATTCAAGGCCATCAACAAATTCTTGAGAACATTTACAACCAACATTTCTATTAAGACAATTTCTTACTTGAGGTGTTTCAAATCCACCAAGAATTTCAGGAAACAAATCATATGAGATGTCTTCATCTCTTTCATAGCTAAATTGTTGAGGTAGTAAAGTTTCTGTGGGTAATTCATAAACTTCAAAACTCTGTGAACCACTGGAATCAGTATCAGTAGGTTCACAAAAATGCTGTAATCTACTTTCAAACATTTGACTCAAACTGTGTTTTGAAATTTCATATTCAAATTGATAATTCTTGACTGTGGCCTCCCAGTCAGTGATTTGGGATTTCAAATCACTATTAAGTTCTGCATTAATTTCTTTGTTGTTGGAGACATTCTCTATTTCAAGATTTGCATTGCTTTTTCCTGATGAACTATTTTTCTGTTTTTCCTTATATTCCTCTTTTTTAATACCCAAAGAAAGTTCATTATTGTCTTTGCAATTATTTATTGCAAGGTGATCAATTTCCAGAAACTGATTTTCTATTAAAGATGCACTTTCATATTCAGATGAAAAATATTTTTCATTCATCTTATGAGAAACAACATATGCACTAAAAAGATTTTCTTTAAATAAAGATTCATCAATATCATAAAACACATTAACAGTGCTTGGGACATTCTTTATTGAAGATCCTAACTTTAAGTCCAGATCATTGTTCTGTGTTTTATCTAAAATTGGCAGTATTGGTAAACCTAAACATTGTTTCTTATTTCTGTATTGTGTACTTGAAAGGCGATGAATGTACTTAGAAATATTGAAGTAGAGTGCACCAGAACACAACAATTCTGACATTAAGTAAAATTTCATAACATCAAATGCACACTTGAAGATATCCTGATTTTGAGATGTAATCATCTGCAGATTTATACTTTCTGGAACTGCTTCGTATTCTTTCCGAAGGGAAAGAACCACTGGCAATGCTTCATCAAAAACTTCTTGATTTTCTGCCTTCTTCAAAGCTTCCACTGCCACAATATTACTACTTTTTGTTTTGAGGGTGCAATTTTCATTTTCTTCTTCTGAATTACAATGCAAGTGATTACAATTTTGAAAAGTGAAAACCGTTTTATTTTTTGAATCATCAACACTTGATGCACCCATAATACTTCCACTGCTTTTTATAATGTTCTTATAAACATTATCTGAATTTTGATCAAAATTCATCACTCTGGAATTTGATATTGAAAATTTCCTCTGTTCACCTTGAATGCTATTGTTTAAATTAAATACACTATAATTTTCCATACTGTTTCTAAATTCACCATTTTGTTCTGAACAAATGTCTGACAAGGCTTCACAATGAACAGAAAGTTGATGAAAAAATCGTTTTTTTAAGCTTGGTTCTTCTAAATTATAGGGCTTTTTAATACTTTTGTGAAATGTTCTATTTTTTTTTTTCATTCGATTCATTGTAGAAGACCGTTTTTTCTTTAAATATTTTCTCTGTCTTCTATGCTGAAGAAATGCAGAAAAACCTCTGAATAAAATAGAACTACATATACTGAATGCTTTAAACTGAATGTTCTTTCTCTTGTAACTATTAAACCATAGCATTTTTTGTTGTTCACTTAACTCCTTGATTTCTTCTGTATTACCAGAAGAATCTCCAGAAGAATATGATTCAATTGGAATATTTAAATTTGAATCAATATTACACGAATCCTTCCTTACATTTTTAATAAACTCTTGAGAAGCTAAATCCCATATTCTATCAGTAGGGCTATCAATAAACCTATCATAGATGAGGTTCTCAGGCAAATCGTATTGATAGAATAACTCAGGTTCATCCTCCTCACAACTACTCCACATATTACAAACTTTACTCTGAATTCTGTCCTTTTCTTGACAACAGGGAATACTATTTCTTTCATCATAGTTAGAGTCTTTTAATAGAACACTTTCATATTCACCTGAAAATTGGTAGTCATTCTTCATACTATCATCACCATGCAGGGATACACAGAATTCACCTTGTTCCTCAATACATGAATCTTTTCCCTTTAAGTTTTGCTGGTCAAAGTCTTTTCTCTCAAAACCTTCAACCAAAGAACAATTTTTTACACTATTCTTATCCTTGAAGGAAAGTAAAACATCTGGTAAGGAAGATCCTGATAAATCTTGAACATTTATAGTAGATGTATTATTAGTTGTGTGAGAGAAGTTTAATTCACTCTCACAATTGAATGAATTATTTACAAAATTATTAGTTTTTATGTTGTTTGGTTCATCAATTGCTCTAACAATTACTGAAGTTCTTGATACATTCATCTGAGTTTCACCACCTGTCAGTAATGACAAATGACTCTCTGTATCAAAAGAAACAGCAGTTGTTTCTGGAAAGGATATGGTCAACATAGATTCACAACTGTTTAACCTTTCCTTTAACGTTTCTGGACACACTGTGTTACAGACATGCTGTGATACAGCTTCTCCTTTTAAAGTCTCTAGTTCTTTTTTAACATTTTCAGGGCTCACCTGGTTATTTCTCATTAGAATGTAAGACAAGTCACTCAAATCACATGGAACTGATAAGTTATGAGAGAATTCTGGGCATTCAGATTTTAAATCACTTCTTAAAAGAGAGTCCTGAAGAATATCACAGCATTCATGGTTTTCCCAAATTGATGTGTCTGGACTTTTGACCACATTTGTAGAATTCTTCATGTTATGTTCAATAGGATAAGTCATATCTACATTATTCAGTGATGTGTTTTTTTTATTAAATTTTGCAATTGTTTTATCAGATGACTCACATTCAGATGAAGAGAAAATAAGATCAAAAGCCTTTAGATTTTCGGACAACCTTTCTTTCACATAATGTACTTGAGAATTTTGAGTATCTCCCATTTCATCAACAGTTTCAAAATATATCTCATTGCTATTATTCACAAATTCATTTGAACATTCATTACAAGCAGAAACAAATGAGCATTCTCTATGAGCTTCAGCCCCTAGATTTCCTGCAAGACCAATTTTACAATCAATGTTTTTATCAAGAGCAAAGGAATAAGGAATCTTTTGAACAGGCACACAATGCTCTTCCTCATTAGATAAATATTTTCTTTCTTTTTCATTCCCAAGTGTAAGCACACCTTTATCTTTCAAACATGTGGAATTATCAACATCTGATTGAAACAAATTTGTCTGAGAAGATGCCAAAAGACCTCTGCCTTCATTTGCAGATAATTTTTCTATTTGTATGTCATCACTATCAATTTGCAAACAATGATCCTCGCATGTTTCAAAGTCCTCATTTACCACTTTCTCTTCACGTCTTTCTTTAATTTCACTCAATTCATTGTGCCTTCTCTCTTTAATTTCCTGAAAACACAATGGGTCTATATGATAAGACTGATAATCAATATTTTGCTGAAAGTTAATCTGATCATTCACCTCTTTTGCAGAAAGAAATGATTCTGAGATCACAGAATGCTGATTTTTGGTTTTTGTCTTCTCCCCATCTCCAATAAAGGAGCAACACGTGTTCTCTTGTGCATTAAAAGATTTGTTTATGTTGGGGGAAAATTCTTCACATTTGTTCTTTGTTACACAATGATTCACACTATCTTTGTCAAGTGATGCCATAGGCAAATCAGAACTTAAGTTTCTTTTTTGCAATTCTACAACTCTTTGGCATATTGCATCCCCAGAACCATAATTAGGACTGTCTACACAGAATTTAGTAAGTTCATCTTCATGACAGTCAGTTTTTAAACATCTTCCTTTGGAATGATTTTCAAAAACAATTTTCTCTTTTACTGATTTTTTCATCAGTTTCTCTGTCTGAACATCATCATCAACACAATAAGGTGTGACAGTTATATTACACTCTTCATTTTCTAGATTAGAGTCCCTTCCCTTGAGCCCTTGTTTACTTTTTGTGCTGTCTTTCCCAACAACTAGGTTACAATTTGATTGAAAGATGGAACAGGGAGAAACAAACAAGCCATCATTTTTTTTATTGACATCAATATCATTCAATTTTATTCTATGCTGTTTAGTTCCATGAGTTCTGAATCTTTTCACATTATCAGAGGAAGCACAATCTTCTTCATCTGATGGTTGAGTGGGAGTACCTTTTACTTGCAAACTCTCACCCAACAGAGAATTATGTGTATCACAAGAAATAGTATTCTCGTGCAGTTCAATCCCATCAGCCGAAAAGGGCAATTCACTTGTTTTTGCATTGCCTGTAGATGAGTGTGCTCCAACTCCCATTGGGTTTGTAGCAGGGTCACCTTTCCTCTTGTGTGGCTTCGGCACTTTGAGAGAGGACTTTCGTGCAATCACCCTAGAGGATTGAAAGGAGAAGGAAAATGGGATCAGGAATTTGTGAACGACAGATATCAAAATAAAATTCTGTTATAAATGTTACATCACAAAATACTGCAATGTATTACATGTACCAAGTACACCAAAATATAAAAGCAATTTCCTCCCAAGAATTGTGAAGTTTTTGCACTTATTATCAGTCTTCATACACTAACAAACAATTATTTTTCTCAAATACCATTTTCCATCTACCTTTCAAAATTTATTATTAAAATATCCTTTGTAATATCCCTGTAAATCTTGAAGGAGAGAAATGTATAATCTTTAACTTATAACTTACATTCATTTATAAAATAGTTTAATTTTTTTCCAATTCATATCATTGTTACTCTTCAACACCCACCAATATTGTTTCTAATTCTTGGTTTAAAGAGTATCACATTTATAACCCAAAATAAAAATTGGAGAAAGAAAGTCATTAGTGAAATGAAACAAACCTGCTTTCAACGGGATTTGGTTTCACTTCTCTTGCTTTATGTCTTTCTTCTGTTGGTTGTATTTTGGTAATATTGCATGATGATGTAAACAAACTTGCATGGGTATTTGTATCATCATTCTTAGCTTTCATTGGACCTTTTCTTACAGTCTTACTACCACTGCAAAATATGAAAATATAAAAACACTTTATATGAAACTAATACTGTAGCCTCCCTCAAATTATCATAATCCTGATTTGATGAAAAGAATCAGTCCTAAATTTATTCAATTTGCTAAAAATAAAATATTCAAGAAGCTTACAAAACGTTTTTACAATAACACTCAAAGATCCTTCAAATCAAAGAAAAGATCTTTTCTTAACTGCAGTAAGTTTTTAATAATTTGAATAAGTTATGAATGAATACAGTATCTCTTTTGTGTGTTAATTCAAAAAACAACTTTACAATTTTATTAAGGCAAGAGGTACAGAAAGTTTTTAATTTCAAATAGCAAAAAAGGTTAGAACTTTTTAACTTTTTTGACATAAACTTTGTTTCTTCAAAATATTAATATTTTAATGAATTTACCTTCTAAATGGTCTCTTTGAAGGTGAAGGAGAAGGTTCTCTTTTCTTTACTTGTGTGTTTCCACTAGGCAAAGTGCAAGATGGTGCAATTAAGAAAAGAAGTACAGAAAGATTTTAACTTCAAATAACAAAAAAGTTAGAACATTTTTAACATTTCTAACATAAATATTGTTTCTTCAAAATATCAATATTTTGATGAATTTACCTTCTAAATGGTCTCTTTGAAGGTGAAGGAGAAGGTTCTCTTCTCTTTACTTGTGTGTTTCCACTAGGTAAAGTGCAAGACGGTGAACTTGAACTCAGTTTTGGTTTGTTTCTAATCCCTAGGAAAGGAAAAAAACAACTTTACATTCATTTTTCATGACTAATTTATATTACCTTGCAAGATTCATTGACAAAAATTTCACAAATTTCTGATTGAGTACTAGATTGGATAAAATACTGCAAAGTTCATGAAAAGAAAATGAGCAATATTTCTGCATAAGGAAAGGCAAGAGTGGAGTATTACACTGCTTCCAACATAATGAAATGGCATCTAATGTTGTCATGATAACTCTCAGTATCTCACTTGTTTACCATACAAACAGAAATTTACCTGTAGGTCTTCACATTTTTTATATATTCCATAAAATTGAGTTAATCAACATTACTGCAGTTGATATCAAAAGATAACCAAACAAACATTTACCTGATAGGAGCCAATAAAAATGCTAATACTTTTAAATTAACTTACCTACTTTCATGAAGGTAATTTATTAAAACAGTAAAATTAAACTTACTTTTACAAAACAGGCTATAGTAAAAATCAAACCCAGAACTACTTTTGCAAGTATTCTAAACCACAACTGCATATGTTAAAATACCTTAAAATTTCTTTTTCATTTTCTACTACTGATATTGGGGATTGCATAAAAAAAATAGAAAAAATTAAACTAATAAGTTACTTTACATCAGAAACTTTACACAACAAATAATAAGAAATAATTTTCTCTAGAACAATACTGAGATCAATGTTACCCTTTATGGAAAAAAATCACACCAACATTGAAAATAGAAAAATAAAAAAGAGCATACCTGGAATCCTTGAAGTTGTTTCTGGCACTTTAACTTCCTGAGGTTGGGGTTTGGAGAATGCTACAGCACTCCGACTTCCCAGTGGGGATGAATCTTTGCTAGAGTGTTGTGACACTCTGGCATATTTTTCTCTTGTCAACGTTCTTTTAGATTTGGCAAGAGGGGGAGCACGATACTGCAATAAAATATTGAAAACAAAGGGTGTCACTATTAAAATTTTAATATCTGTTCATCTAATTAATAAAGTTTTATATACCTTGGTTCTGGCTTCAAGCCTTTCTTTGGCTTGTATAAGACTTGCTGGTGACTTAGGAATTCGAGCTTTTTGCTCTTTGCACCATTCAATATGTCTGTCAAATGCCTTTGGTCCAAAATTTCTATCACAATGTGGGCATTTTTCATTAGATGACTTTGACACAGCTGAAGAGCTTTTTGTTGATACAGGTTCAACACCCCGAGCAGCACGAATTGCAGCAACAAATTCAAGATGCTTCTCTTTCCAGTTGGATTCTGGTTTCTTGGGAACAACTTTTTCTGTTTTTTTCTCACGTAATATTTTGGGAAGAAATTCTGCCAATTCAGTGCCCTGAATCCGTTGTTTTGATGAATCAAACACTTTTCTTTTTTTGGATGCTTGCTTTTCACATACTTTAAGATGCTTTTGTAATGATTCAGGCTTAAAAGTTCTTGAGCAAACCGAGCATGGCAGTAGAACAGGTGGAGGTTCATCTAAAGAAAAGACAAAAAAAGTAATAGCAATAATAAAAAACATACGTTTTGCAATTTCTTAAATTTAATAAGGCAGAAATCTATTTATGTTTATCAGAACACCACAAAAATTATGTGTTTAAGTATATAGGAATGCTTGGGAGTTATAAATCTCATTTTTATAGTATCACCTAAAATGTTAATTACAATTGCTGTAAACATTTTCTATTCTGGACTTTTATTTGCCCTCTGACAGTATTAATCAAAAATTCAGTTGTTTGTCCACCACACATATTAACAAATTTTACAGTATATACATCAATTATCTAATTCTCCAAAATTATCATGCAAATATCTAAGTAATACTGACACATCAAAACACAGACTTACACACATTAACAATAACATTTTTAAAAGTATTAAAAAATGTGCATTTTTAGTTTTGTATCTCTGAGAAATTAATAATTAGTTTCATGTAATACTATTATCAATGGGGCGCATTACCTTATATATTTAAAATCACTTGCAGATAATTTACAGAACAATAATAATGCCTTAACTGTTAAAATTGGAATTTGTCAAGTATTCCCTTATATAGAAATAGTGACATATCATACGAGTCTTTTCTACTGAGACACTTTTCTACTGAGCAATCGATGCAGTTATCGGATTAAGAACATTATCAAACAAATGTTGATTGTCGGAACGTCACTTTCGGGCATTTCGATTTCAGTCATCACATTGACAAGTTCTCTAGTAGCAATGGGCACGGTGCGCAGCGTGGGTGAGCTGTGACACCTGAAGATGCAAAATCTTCCTGATACGACGTATCTCTACTTACTATCATCTACAGAAGATAAATTAGAAAAACGTGTAAAACGAAGTCTTTGTTTCAATGTTATTCGGTGAAAATGAAATATTAGCGCCGTTATGTACACAGTACGTGTTTACGTTACCTTCGGGTTCTGCCATTTTCGTTGCTCCGAGCAACGCACAAGACAACAGTGATTGGGTGAGAAAGTGATATTGAAAACATGTGGGGCAAATGTGGGACGATACAACTTCGGTTGTCATGACAACGAAAACGCCCTGCATAAACAATTTAATATTCGTATAATCTGTGTTTAAGTTAGCGAAGAAAAAATATACCCTTTCATCTTTGGAATTGTGATAAGGAAAAAATGTCTGTAGCAACACGAATGTCCTTGGCCGTAGGAAAACATGTATGCATACCAATCACATTTGCACGTGTAGCACACGCATTGCATAATTGATTCCAAAAGTGCATGAATTAACGCGATGGCCTCTGACAAGTATTTGGACACCCGAGTAGTTTTCTTGTATATCATTCTTTCGCACTTGTTGAAAAAATCTTACGTGTACCAAAGATATATTTCCAATATTGGTAGTCGTTTCAAAATACGCGGACAGACCGGTTGCGCACTTGCATCATTGTTGAGTGCCTGTTTGAGTGCTGCGTCACTCTGAAGAGGGCAAGGTGTAATACCTGCTCGAGAAGCAGCAAAATGTGGCGAACGAGCTTGGGAAGCCTAAAATATGGCTCTAAGATAGTTCGCAGTGCCTTTGATGTATAAATTCACACTCTTATAATGCATTAGATTAACACACGATTTTCTCGTGTGTAATTAACACGAACCTACAACTTAATATTAACCATGCTTGTCATGACATTACATAAACAAATATATTTTTAAACAATTTTAGGAACCTCTATTTGTCAAAATTAATTAATTATTAAAATATTCTAATGAATTTAGTCATTTTGGTAATATTTTTGTAATTATTTTATTTAATAGGTTGCTCGTATTAGGGGTAAACCAAAACATAAAGTGTCTTTGAGCACTTCTTGTCTAATTGTCAATGAACCTCTAACAAAAACATTTCAAGCTGATGGGGTCCGGAAGATAGTTATGACCAGCCACAAAACAAGGTTTGTACAGAAAGAATAAATTCATGAAATAGGGATTAATTGAACAAAAGCACGCTTATATTTAATAAATGGTTGAAATAATTATTTTTACTTTTGTTTATTTTCCTCTCTTTTTTATGATTTTACAAAGAAATTGTTTCTCAATCTAATAATTATTTTATTTACAATAGCAATAGTTCAATAGATACAATGATGATTATTCATACAAAAACTATTTCTTACAATTTTTTAAAAATAAAACAGAAATGCCCTTTCATTGAGCATGATGGAAGATCTTATAGAGAGTATAACTCACAATCAGAATGATCCATCTCTTCGTTGTATTTTATTATATGGTGAAGGTCGAGTATTTTCTGCTGGGCACAACCTCAAGGAATTGGTACGTACTGAGCATTAAGAAAAAGAACAGTTTAATTGTAATAAAGTCAAATGTTACTTCTCTTATTATATTTTTCACTATCTAGACTAGCAAAGATGGAACTGAACATCATCAGCTTGTCTTTGCAACATGTTCCCGTCTCATGTTGGGCATTATGCAGAGTCCTGTGCCAGTTATTGCTGTTGTTCAAGGGCTTGCAGCAGCAGCAGGATGCCAACTTGTGGCTACATGTGACATAGCAGTTTGCACAGAGAACAGTTCATTTTCTACTCCTGGGTAAGACTTACAAACATTTGCAGTAGCAGCCTGTGGGGGTACTACAGTCCTACTCAAAGCCCTAAAACATAAAGAGATTACCACTTCCTGATCTATAGAGAGGGACTGCTGTAACAGCTACTGCTTGGGCACTGCTGGCAACAGCAGGTTATGTCCATGCACTCATTTAGTCAGTGCATTTGTAAATGAAAGTTCTGATAACTTTGTTTTGCAATGCCATCACCCTGCATGACATTCATTTGCTTTCTGACCTGTCAAAGTTGTCCCATTTTCTCCGAGGGTTCCCTTGGACACATTTTCTGTTCTCTCCCAAGTTTACCACCAATAGCTACCATTTTACATTTCCAAACAAGTTACGAGACAAAGGTTGTCTTCATCACTTTAGACTAATTGCAATTAAGATAGTATTAATGTTAGTTTTAAGGTGTTAAATATTATTTGTCCTTAATGCCAAAGTTTAGATCAGTATTATATTTTAGATGGAGATTGTATTAATGATGAGAGAGAAAAATAAAACACCGTAATGCACTGGGATAATAATATGACACACGTAGGGTTTTACAATTCTCCATCTGGTATCAAATAGAACTAAGCATTTTTTAGATGGGTTAAATGTAATACCTAATGTATTGACTTTGTCCACTAATGTTTGCTAATTTAAAAATTTGACTGTCAAGTATTCTGTGAGGACAGGGAAATACTTTCATCTTTTAAGTTACATTTTCAATTGTTATTTACAAAATAATACAAAATGTAATGAGTAATCAAAATGATCAATACTTAAAAATTCTTAAGAGCTTTTTGGGTTTTCTTTTTCTCTATTAAATATTAAATTGATCACAACTTGAATCACTTTCTATTTGAAATGTATTAAATAATTTTTTTAGATCAAATTTCTAAAACTGAAAGATTGTTAAACTTAGGTTTGAAAGTATTTTGGGGATGATTGAAAAGAGACTTTTATTTGCAAGTTGAACCTGGTAGTTAAGGCTGGAGGGAGGGTAGACAATTTCTAAAGTCAAATGCAATTTTTTTTGTTTGAAATAATAAAAAGGAATTTTGAAATATCATTAATCTAGTTTTCAAAAAAAGAAAAATCCTATTTTATTTGGATACACTTCTAATTTCCAGTGCTAATTTTGGAATATTTTGCTCAACTCCTGGAATAGCTGTTGCTAGAGCAGTTCCCAGAAAAATTGCTGCTCATATGCTTTTCACTGGATTACCCATCACAGCAGAAGAGGCCTTACAAGCTGGACTTGTTAGTAAAGTTGTGTCACAGGATTCTTTGGGTATGTTGTTGGAAAACTATAAGGGTTTTTAATTTTTTTTTTTTTTTTTTCTTGTCCTAAATGTATTTTGAATTTATTGAAATTAGAGTTGAAAGTTCTGATTGTTACGAGTATGGTGCAATGAAAATGAAAATCTTTTGGGATAATATACTTTTGAGAACAAAGTTACATGGACATTTAGTTAGCAAGGATATAATTGCTTTCTTCTACTATTCATCTCCTTTTTATTTTTGTCTATAGTGATTAACTGTGTAATCTGTGAAAAATCCTTTTTGTGTGTGTGTGTGTTAATGATGGAATGCATGCTTGATTATTGCAGAGGAAGAAGTTCACAAAATTGTGGATTCAATATGTGCCAAAAGTCGGTCTGTGTTAGAACTGGGAAAAAAATTCTTGTACCAACAATTGGAAACTGACATCAGAACTGCTTACAGGTGCCCACATTTCTTCTAATCTATTACTCTTATGGAATAAGTTTGAATATTTTTATTTATTTGTTTATTTATTTGCCTTTTCCTTACTTATCTGATGAAATATTTTCTTAGGTTGGGAGAAGAAGTTATGGTTAATAATTTAGGTTTAGTAGATGGTCAGGAAGGCATTCGTAGCTTCATGGAGAAAAGAAAAGCTTGTTGGTCTCATGGATTTGAAAAAGTACATTAAATGAACAAAGAAGAATTAAATGAGTCCAAAGACATAATAGGTTACCATCAGCAGTGCTAGTTTCAGTAAATCATTTTATCAATTAAAGAAAATAATATTTGCCAAATGCAAGGTTCCTAAAGCATTCTTATTGTACCTTTACACACAATCTATTATCACTTAGACAATAAAGGAGTTAGCACAGAACATCACTGTGTGTCCTAGTACATCATAAATTATTTGGATACTCCTTTTTATAATAATACTCATTCTATATGGTATTCAAAATTACTTTTACGCTTCTATTATGTATCTTACTAAGAACATATTTCACCTTCATAAGTAATTTTTAAACTTTGTCATTTTTCCCTAGTTGTTAGCTCATTTCCAATTTAATATTTCTAATTCGGTGCAATTTTATTAAGTTTCTATTATTGTTATAGCAATATATGTACTGTTTTGATTTTATCGAGCACTGGGTAGCTGACTGTGTCACTGTAAACTTTCATATTACTTAGGTATTATGAAATAATGTAGAGAAAGGTTTCGACTTTCAATTGAGGCTACAAAGACCTTACTCATATAAAATAAAAGCAGTTTGCTGAAGTAATTCAAAATGCTTCATGAACTTGTGAAGTATTAATTGATATCACTAAGTGGTATAGTTTAAAATGATGAGAATTGCAAAAAATCTTGTACAATTCTAAATATGCACTGAATTTGCCAAATGGCTGTGTCAAAAATAATTGAACAACTTTAATGCTGCCAATGTTGAAAAGTTTACAAAATCATGAAACTAATTTTTTAGAGTATATATTAATGGTTATAAATATACAAACTATTATGAAATAAATATTTTATGAGCATTGAATTTTGTCTTTTCTTTGAAATATCAATACAAATTCATGTGTTCCTGCTTAGGTGAATGTCAATATGTTCTTGAATTATAGTTTGCAGTGTTTTATAAATTGCAGTTTTTATGTTGGCCACAATTATTATGCAAATGTATTTGGTTCATTCAAGAAATGATAGAAGTGAGAATAATCAATATGATACTGAAGTCTCTTTGTAAGTAAAAAAAGCTCATTTTCAAGCTTGAGCAACAAGTCCTGTAGGTTTATTGGTGTACAGAAATTTAAAGAAGCTTAACACACAAAGTTCAATTCTAAAGAAGTTTGTTGCACTAAATGAATGTATTTCCATAAATGGTTATGCCACAAATTTATACCAAGACTGATTCTGATGATGAAAATAAATTATAGAATGACTAATAAATAAAAATCTGCTTAGGGTGCCAAAAAAATTGAATGCACTTGCCCTGTTTTCTTTTTGAAATAGTAGTAGGAAGCCTGCATATGTTAGTTACATAAAATGAACTTCATTGAACTGAAAGTCATGTAAACAGGGAACCACTAAATATTCAACAAAAACATTTTGAAATTAAAGACAAATATACAAGCAATTAAGATATCTTAATCACTTTTTGATTTTCAGTTCATTAAAAAGTATGTATGCCCCCAAAACAAGAGCCTCTTTCACTCTTGGAATTCAGTGTTGAATGTGGTAAAGGGGGTACTAACACAAAAAGTGGCAAGAATCGCGCTTGCTCGGTTGTCAGAAAGTCGGCTCCGCGCGCAGATCAGGGCAATCGCGCGCGTCGGAACTCGAGATCTGCGGAGGCAGCAAGATTTCGTTCCTCGCCGCGAGGCACAGTAAGGATGTTACAGGAGCTGCTTGTAAAGACACTTTCAGGTTCAACTAAATCCGATAACACGATTAAAATGAACCAGAAATACAGATTCATTACTGATAATATATTTCATAGCACAAAATTATTTCGTAAAACAAATAAATGACGAAAGGTTATAAAAAAAATATGGCCGACAGGGGAGGTCAAACCTGAAGAGAGGACACAGCTCCCAATTCCTTGGCTGAGGAAAGGGCGGACTGAGCGCACGTACGATTTCTGAAAACAAAGGACCTCATCTTCGATAAACACACAGTTGGATTCTGAGAACGCAGTGTACCTAAATGACTACAACAAATATCTTTCATGGGACGGGAAAACCAATGGCCCGAAATGTCACTTAGTGGCTCCTTCAGGTTCTTCCTTAAATGGCTTCGTGGTCTCCTTGATCTCGGATCCCGTATTGAGAACGTAATACTGAGAATAAAAGAAATTTTGAAATGTGAAGAATTGTACATTTACGATTAAATAAATTAAATTGTGATATATTATTCGTTGTAATGAATTATTAATATGGGAGTTGGATTTCGTCCCCTTCTTCTGATGGGTTACCCCTAGTAATAAAATAAATTAACGTGAAAAATATAAATCATGTTTCATTATTCATACTGACGCATTTCTCGGTCGAAGAGGGAAGGGCACATGCTTTCCAAGCCCTTCCCTCGCCTCCTTTGGTTCTAATCCTGGAATTAGATGTCATATTCCTTCATCATTAAATACATGAACACGTCTACACTTAATCATTACAGTAGCTTACAAATTGAACTGTGCGCTTGTTATGACTCGCTTTGCGATGTTACGTACCGCGTGTGTTTCCATTCAGTTTCTTTTTATAGTTTTCCGCTAATAAATAGAAAGTTATGCATTTTTTTAATGTTCGAAGAGAAATAAATTACATTAATATTGTTACGAATTATGTATTTTTAGCCAGACGAACTGTTTAGGTGCTTGAGTGCGTTGAAGTTTGGTTTAATCAGGATATAGCTGCTAAGCTAAGACCTACTCTTTTACTACCGGTGGTGATATCTATTTTCTCAATATGTTTCATGAAAACAATTACGATAATAATAATAGTTAAATTAATCGTTCAATTAATGTAATTAAATAAAAAAACGTATATTTTAATTAATAATTGTTTTAAAAGTTTTAATCGCTACTGTATGCAGTGATATCAGCTGATGCCCTGAGTCACCTCTCCCGGCTGGACTTGAGAGAATCGGTGATTGTGCTCTACGTCTTCAAACCATTCATCCTGACTTATTTCCAAGCTAGTGGCCCCGCTCAGTATCTCAAGACCTCACATCTGTTCCTCCAGGATACGCACGAATTGAAGAACACCATGTCACCCGAAGAATATAAAACATTCAAGTCAGAATGGCGTTCACTATCCGCCGAAGTAATACGTTAGTAGTAGTAGTAGTAGTAGTAGTAGTATAAGTGGGTAATTGTGGTTCTACGAGGGCTCGGCTATACTGCCTAAATTGTCTGAAACCTATGATATAGTAGAAAATATTGGAGGGTTAAGGCTATGCTATGAACTATCGCACTGATCAATTGTCGACACAAGCTATGGCTGCAACAATACGAAGCATTTCAGTTGAGATGGCCAGAAAACGTAACTTCGAGAGCTGGTAAGGGCAGCACTATCACCTCAAGATGACAAGTATTCGATGCTGTATGTCGCGAGCTAATGGTTGAAATACGGTGAAAGTGTTCATTTTATTTTAGTACGTTGAGGTTATTGTTTAGTTGGTTTTCCTCTGCCTAAAATGATTTGATAACGTTCTTTTGTGAAGGTACTTTTTCTTGAAGCGAGATGTTCTCTTTCTATGTAAAATAAATATATTTTCGCGATAACCCAGTCTTGTGCGGTTGTGGACTTAGTGGATAAGGGGGAGGGAGAGACTGAGTGGGCTTTTTTAGATCAACTACGTTTCCCAGAAATCAAGAATGTAAAATTATTGCACCTGCGGAACAAAGACGATAAAAGAGGATTTCCGCTTTTGAGAAAAAGTCAACTGTGGCCAATTCAGGTACTATCATATTCCTAAATTGCAGTTGAAATGTCTCCTTTCATTTTCCTTTCATTTTCAGATGTTTCACCTGGAAATTTAAAAAAATGTTTGCAATAATATAAAATAGTCCACTAAAAATAATATTTTAGACACTGCTCTCACAATAAATAAATTGTCATTAATACATTTTGCCGAAACAAGTTCAATAAACACGGCTTCATAACGTGTATTAGCTACTATGATTTTGTGGACCTTTAAGATTTTATTTAAAAGCTAAGCCCGTAATAACAAAGCTCACCTGTGTACGTGTGGGTTATCAAATCGTATGCACTACCTGTCTCGCAACAAATGTTGATTAAAACTTGGAAAATAAAGTATATTTAAAATATAATGATCGATATAAACATGTAAACAAATTTTTTAAAATTGGAACCAGTGCTGATAATATATTTGTGATTTAAAATGCTCAATGTTTTTTGTTACGTTCAAAATACTTTTTCCAATTACAAATATTTAACACATTCAAAACTCAAGCTTTAAATGGGCATCACTCATATTTAAATACTATCGCAGATATTTATTTCATAAAATAAGGATAGGGGGAGGGAAGATTATTAACACAAGATTTGTACAAATGTGTCTTGAATATTGAAATTAAACCATCAAAATTTGAATTCAGCGCTTAAAACGTCAAAAATATATTTTTAAATTTGTTGATGAAAATGGGTAATATTTTAAATAATTGTATATTATTAAAATTAGTAGTAGTAGTAGAATAAAAATAAATACGTTAATTTATATCAAATTTGAATTAAGCTAGTCCTTAAAGTTCTCCCAGTTCGTGAAAAATTACATGTATTTTTGGGACCGTAATTATGAACATTCTGAATTTTTTCTGAGGGATTATTTAAGTTAAATTTAGGTAATACTTAATCTCAATGATAATAATTAATAAAATTTTCTAACAAAACTATTTAAAAAGCCGAGAATTTATAAAAATATACGGAGGAAGTCTCTTCCTCTCGAACAGCACCGGGGCCCGAACCCAGTTTTCCGCCCAGACGCTGCAAAATAGCCCTGTTGATAATCTATACGCGATAGAAAAGATCTTAACTTTAAATATATATTTGATACCAGACAACACCTTTTATTTATTTAATTATTAGTATGTATCTACCTCACCAGCAATCACATGAATATTGGTTACGTGTTTATTTTGCCAAATGGTGTTTTCAAAAGAGTTTATGAAACCTTCTAGGGTACAAGAGTATTTAAATAAAATACATGCTAAAGATTTATCGTAATTTGAAGGGCTGAAAAAGGAACATTTAAAATGGCCTAATGTATTAAATCTCTTTGCGTCGTCTTCTAAACAAGATGATGGACTACGAGCCTCGTATATCGGTTCATTGTTAATCGCAAAAGAAGAAAAACGATACACAATTGACGAGAAATTAATTTTGCCGACAGAGTCAAAGATATTTCATAACAGAATTCTATTCAGAATTTAATCACATTCCCCCCTTTTTACATAGATGAACTTGGGTTCAGTGCTGTAATCAATTTACTGTCAAAGAAGAGGAACACACTGAACTGAATCACTGAACGCGACAATCTGCGCTTGATATTAACAAAGTTGGAATCCCTCATTGACAGTTAAAACGGTTATAGATATTACGTCTAATGACAGAAGGTCTAATTTTTAGTAATCTAATGTCAGAAAATCTATGAAAACACGTATAATAAAAATTGTGTATAATTTAAAAAAATGTCTAATAATAATTTATGTAATACACAAAAGGGTAGAATTGATTCATGATAGACTGATGGAATGAATACATTTGAAAAAACATACTTGGAACACTTAAATGTTCCATCTCCTAATATTAATCTACTGAGGGACAAAAGACGTAGACCATCAGTAGTGAATATTAATAGACGATCAGGATATTGACGTCCTGAGTCGCATCTCAGGAACTGGTCTCCACTCAAAGTGTATGGATTAATGATTTCCAAGTCTTGTAAACTTCTCAGGAATGGCGGTCTAGCTACATTCTGGTGGTGATTTACAGCTCTTAACAATGCTTGCCTTTCTGGCATCAAAATCAAAGCCTCTTCATTGTTCACTGCATTTGTTTCAAGATGAACTATTGCAGCAGACGCCATGTTTGGATTCTCAAGTGCACGTTTTTTATACCCGCACATGTTTGTCGTATGATAAAATCAGATCTTCTCTCATAAGTGTGTTTGCCTGCTTTGTATATTTTAATATTTTCCAGATTGCTGATTGTAATGCGCGTTGCATTACAGGCTCCTCTTTTTTTTAACATCCCCATTATATTCTATTCATTAGTACTGTTTTCTTTTCGAAAATGGTAGGAGTAATCGTTGTGAACTAAAACTATTTTACCTTTACATAATGCAGTGGTATAAGTAGTCATCTTGACTAAAATTTAGTATTACAGTTCACTTGTTGAAAATTTAATTGGCATTTTTAAAATATAGACTTGGTTTTCAGGCGTTTAATAATGAAGAAAAATTTTGCTATTGCTCCTTTGTATATCTTTTAGACCTTCGGTGTTTATGCCTATTAGACCTTATTAATTGAACTTTCTAATTGTAGACCATGTTTGGTATTAGACCCCCTGTCGCGTAGATCTTATGTTGCATTAGACCTGGTACGCAATAGATGTCCTGTTCATTAGACCTAACGAGTATTACACCTTTTGTCTGTGGAACAAACGACTTGAAACCGTTAAAACACCATCTCATTATTTTTTTATTATGAATTTTGTATTAATCTCGTTTTTATTTCTTACTGATTTTGTATTTATTTTTAAAATTATAATAAATAATTTTATTGTATATTTGGTTGTCAATTTATTAATTTCCATTTTATGATTTTCAATAAACAAAAACAAACAAACTAGACAGCATTTTAATATTTAAATTAAAATATCAGTTTTGGACTCCGTAGCGTTGGAATTTTCTTTCTACGGAAGCGGTGGTCCAGAAAAGGTTGCGAAGAGAGAACTGGATAGACCAACATACGCGAATAAAAATACGAGAAGTTCAATTTTCGTTGAACTCTCTGAATGTTCGGAAATTCCGAAAGTTCAAAAGTTTTTGGAGTTTTCCTACAAATACAATGCTGAAGGCAGAGCATTTTTTTTTTCAAATAAAATTTAGACTCCATAATTAGTTCTTTAATGAATGGCCTTTGTAAATTTTTTTTAATATGAATAGTTTTCACGCAATTTTGAGTGAAATTTGGGCAATTTAAAAACAATATTTTCTCAAAAACGGAATCAAGTGTTTTTCTTTAAATATTGTGTACGGATCGTGCTAAATAAACTGAATAACATGACACCAAGGATATTTTGATTATGCTTTTATTCTTGTAAAATTACACAAATGTATTTTTTAGTTACCTCTCACATAGTTAATTTCTAGAAACATATATTTCCATACATATCCCGAGATCTGTTGGCCGTTGATTTTATACAATATCAGGTTTGCTTAAAATTCGTTTTCTATTTATGCATTTTGTCTTGTCCTTTATCTATTTTTTACTTTCACCTTCTGGTACATTTACTATGTTACTTTTGAGCTATACTAAGTTACAAAACACTTATATATGTAAAATAATAGTTTGTCGGGGTTATTTCAGGGCTCACGAAGAGATCAACGAAGATAATAATCCAGAAGTTTGGTTAGCACTACACTGTGAAGAGTCCTACAATACTGAATATAGCACCTCGGAAGATGAAAAACCGGAAGAACCAGAAATTGACATGGAAACTGGGATTTTAGAATCTCATTAACAATGAAATATTGACAGTGAAATATTGTTTCATCGTAATAATGGATAAGTGGCAATTACTCTTACAGCTTAGTAACTGTAATCCTCTTTGCACTGTTTCATCACTACATTTTAGTACTTCAAGTTTTCAAATAAACGATAATATGGAAGAATATTAATAATTTGCCAAAGCACATTGCATACTTAATTATTGCGGGGTGCGATCTAACGCAAGAGATGCATAAACAGACGCGCGCACGAAAACACACATAGCACACCCACAAACACACACACACACACATTCGTGCGCACAAACACACACGGACGCGGGCGCGCCTACACAAACACATAATTTTGAAAATGTTTGGCTAATTTAGCTTAAAGTTAAACACCGTGGTATTGTTTCAGTAGGCGAATCCACTGCTTTACCTATAAGTAAAACATTAATCACTAGATCCCGGAAATTTTTGAAATAAAATCATTGGTTCTGCGCATAAAATGCGGAGTGACGGCAGAGGCAAGCGCAAGGTCGGAGATGGCAGCGGGAGACGGGGGCATGGAAGGCGGTTGAAGTGAGGGGGGAGGCGAGGGCAGTGACGGCGGCGGAGGAAGTAATGGTAATGAGAAGGGAAGGTGGTGGCGACGATTGAATGATTGATTAGAGATTCCGGGCATGTCAACTGTTAAGGTCATTATTCCCGTAAGTGCAGTGCGTGTTTCACCCATCGGGATGTGACGGTGATCTTCCCAGCTGGATTGTAAGATCCGAAGCCGACCTGTATGTCGGCTAATGGGGTTTTCTTCAACCAAGTATCTCCCACCAGCAGAGCTCCGACCCAGAAGTGACAAACCCCAATCTCCCAACCGATCTCTCGGCAAGCTTGACCGTTAGTGTAAGTGTGTGTAAGTAAGGGTTGAGGATAGGACAAGGAAGGAGAAGGAAAGATCCAGCGCGGTCCGTGGCCCGGCTTTTAGGTACTACTTCGGCTTTCGCCTGGTGTTGATCAGAGAAACATACCATGGAAAACTACCGATCAGAGCAGCCGGCCGCTAGAATTGTCCTTCAGAAAGCGTCTGAAGTCGACCTAGCTATCTAGCTAGTGTCGAAAATCCGTCACCGTTGGGACTCCAACCTAGGACCAACCGGTCAGAGGCGCTGCAGTGACGTCAGTGGTTGCCCTGAGCCACCTCTCCCAGTGACGAGAGCGGAGTATGAAAGTGTAGAAGAGACCTAGGCCAGTGCATAGGCAGTGGCAGAGGAGGTGGCTGGCATGGAAGCGGGGGCGGAGGAAAAGAGGGAGAAGGCACAAGGAGAGGCGTGAGTGGGGCAGCAGCGGGGGAGGAGTTGGGGACGGAGGCGAGAGGTGAGGTGGTGCCGGGGGCAGTGGCTACGATGGAGGTGGGGAAGGGCGTGAATATGAAAGAGACGGTAGGAAGTAGGAGTTCGGGACATAAAGCAATTAAAAAGGTAAAAAAATATATATATTCAACCAGACCCGCTGTTCGAAAAATTAACTGAAAATGTTCGCTACTTTGCTTTGGATCGGTAGCATAGCATCCCGGTATCAAAGTGGCACTGTACTGGCGGCCGTTTTCAGGATGATGTAATGATATGGATGAGCTGCCTATCTGCTTCATGCAAAGAATTTCATGTCCAAGTTTGCGTCACAATATTAGCGGAAATTGAAATGCAATCGAAACTAAAATAATTATCACCTGTTTACAAATCAATGGAACAGATATACTAAACAATTTATTAATAATGAATCTTTGTTTCAATCACACCTTCATAGTATTATTTGGGGTTTGACACCCATGAAAATGCTCACTTTAGGCCACTTTCAAAATGTTTCTCAACTCTTCTAGTTTGTCATACACCATTGCGGACAGCGTCTGGCCTACCTATTCAGAAGTTCCCGCAATGTTGTCACATGGTGTGTAGCGTATTCGGTGCCATGCCGAACGAGCAAAAATCGGTGCGGCGGAGCAGCTCATCCTCATCAATGCATCATATTTCTCGGGGCGTTTCCAGAGTTGCGGAACGTTGACGGGAAGCATATGGCAGGTGCACGGAACGTTCACCAGCGGCCGGTGGGCTGGTGGTGGTCTTTGATGGCTGATGCAGTGCCAAGTGGGGAGGTACCCCGCAAGGACGTTTCCTTTGCTGGCGACATATGGTCGAGAGGAACGGGTGGCGGCTCAGTCGGCGTGTGGCAGCACGAAAAGACGTAGCATCCGATGGCACGGAGGTGGTCGATGGCAACAAAGAGTGGCCGATGGCGTGAGGAGTGGACGATGGCAGGGAGTAGCCGTTGGCGGCAAGGAGTGGGCGATGGCAAGGAGTGCTCGATGGCAAGGAGTGCTCGATGGCAAAGAGTGACCGATGGCAAAGAGTGGCCGTTGTCAAGGAAAGACCGATGGCAAGGAGTGGCCGGCGACAAGGAGTGGTCGATGCCGATCGTAGAAAGAAGTGACAAGGGCCACAACGTACGTAGAGGCAGGTACTCCACTCTGGGCTCTGCTCATTTTCTATTTTTGTTACATTGTACACAAAGCTTACATTTGGGGGGAAAATTGACATTGTTTTGTCGTCGTATTTTCCTTCTCTTATTAATTATGAATTTTTATTGTTTATGAAATGTAAAGGATCAGCCGCAGCCATTAGCGTTTTCGTCTCACATCCCGGGTTAAATGTAGTAACAAGCAGTGTCAAAACATGACTTTCTCATTCAGGGAAGCTGTTGTTTTAAGCTGTGTGACGCGTAAGTGTGATGATCCTTGGGTTTTTAGAACGGAGATTTGAGGATCTATATTTTTTAACTGATAGAGTCGAGGAAATTCACTAAATTTTTAACTTCATGCGCTTTTAAGCTACGGAAGATGAAACGAAATTGCCCTGAGGACCCCCGCCCCTCGCGGGCCCTTCTTTCTGCTATCGGCGACGTTTCCAACAACCATCGTACTCAACGTGTCACTGCAAACTACACTACGCTTGGCCAAATGAACCACTTAGGTGGTGAACGCACACGAGTAAAACATATAGAGCAATTGGAGACAACATACATTTTTGTTACTTCGCACGCTTGCCTGTACATCAAATTCCACATCCCTGGGGCTCGGGAGTATTTGAGAAGAGCTTCCGCAGTGGTCCTTGGCCGTGTCGGGGGAAGATGGTTAGCATGAGTTGCGGTACACAATCAGAGATGTATCTCTTTTCATTTAATTTTCTAAACTGCAAACCAACATGCACCCAGAGAATACCGACCTTCAGAATTTAATTCGGGATAAGCGATTGACCAACATGATATGAAAGTGCAGAGAAAATGAAATATTTTAACTATTTCTACGTACAAATAATATTGTACTTTAAAATGTAAATGGAAGCTGCACTTCCAGCTCATCCATGGACGTTACGGCTGTGCTTGCATATGGAGAGGGTCAAGGGAGGGCCCCCATGAACTTAGCTTATTAAAAGCCACATTTATGTACAATGGTTAAATATTATTTGAAATGTGAACTACTTTTAAGATATTTATTTCTGTCGAATAATTATAAGTGGAAATTATAAAATTACGATTTATATAATAAATAATAATACAAAAGAGGTCTACTTTCCATTCCACAAAATTCTCCTGAAGCTTTCCCCGAAGTATTGTATCACGTCGGCAGTACCTTCTGCCGTATCTTGACCCGAGTGGCGACAGCGTCTCAAGTGACTATTTCGCTCGCGGGCAGCACTAATGAAACTTCCTTTTGTATTGCGACGAATCACTCCTTCTCAGCAATTTTTCGCGGACCAGAATGTGCTCAACACCTGGCCAGCGTGCCACCCAGCCCCGATTCGTCCTGCATTTGCACCCTTTTTGCTTTCTGAAATGCCCTCCGAAAGACCACAAAACGTACGGGCGAAATACCAGTGGCGGCTCGTAAACAAATGTTCAGAGTAGGCAAAATGATTACTGAAGAGGGCACGGGGGCCATGCCCCACCTCAATCAATTTTTTTGTAATTTTATTCAGTTTATTCAAAACAACTGTCTTACTGATATTACATTCCAAAGCATTTTCATGAAACACGCTCGGGTAATTTCGAGATATTCAAATTCTTAAAACGTGTTGCAAGTTTGAGTGGCAATGGCAATAATTAAGAAATCGGATTCGATTTTTTACCCATGTGTTTTCGATTCACTGAATTACATATGTAATCTGTTGACATTTCATGTTTTCGTACAGCTTTTGATCAATTTTCATGTCAAAATATCCATCTCTATTTCAAGTAATTGTGTAGTTAATTGACAATCAAAGACATGGCCAACGATAAAATTTATCTTTAACTTTACGTCCTGTTAGCCTTTTGTGTGAATCTTACCCCGAAGTATTGAATTTTCTTGCTTTTTTCTTTCGCCAGCGCGTACAACCGTACTCTGCATAGGAATAAGTCAAGCATTGTCCAAAATGCGTCTCTCGGTTAAGATGAGAAAACGGTGTATGTTGTAGTTCATTCCCTGTATCTGTTATAACATTAACGTAAAATCAGATTTAAATATAAAAAAACAAATATATTTCCTAATTTATAGGATGTTTCTCTGTTTGTAAATTCTTCGACAAAACAGTGAACACACGCGCCAAACGGATTGTATGCGAGTGGAAATCGGAGTCTTTCGTGCGGGGAGGCAGCAAGAGAATTCGCTGGCCTACGCACAGCGCGCATGCGTCAAATTCTTGTCATTACGAACACATCCTGCAGCATGCTCAGTACAGGGCATTTTTTCAGAATACAGAACGAAGGAAAGCAGCGCGTGCCTACTTTGAGAGGTGCAAGCGGGCGCGTGTCTCTGTGGAAGAGACGAGGCAGCTCGCATGGTGCACGGTCTGTTAGAAAACGCTTGAAATAGAAAAACTGCTAGTGTCACGATAATAAAATGTTCAGTATAGTTTTCCAAATGAATAAATATTACTATTTAAATTACATTGTAAGAGTATTTTAATTTTTGTTTATTTCTATAAAATGTATTAAACTAGTACAATTTATCAGGGTAGCCAGTGACTACCTTGCCTTTCCCAAGGAACCGCCAATGCCCAGCGCACAAAACACATGTTCTTGACACCCATTCACACTGGCCCCCCCTCATCGTGTAGCTGCGCGCCATGGGCAATTTTCGTTCCCGAATCTATTACAACGTCATCAAACGCCAATCACATCTTCAGGCTTCGAGAATATCTCAAAAGCACGGGAAGCTTAACCATTTAGGAAAGTCGATTTCGACATTCCCGTGATCACTTAATCCAGCAAGTCACAAGACGAGGTAGGGGGCCATACAGG